TGATACAGGCAGTGTTGATTGTGTGTCACTGATACAGGCAGTGTTCATCGTGTGTCACTAATACAGGCAGTGTTGACCGTGTATCACTGATACAGGCAGTGGTGATTGTGTGTCATTGATACAGACATTGTTGATTGTGTGTCACTGATACAGACAGTGTTGATTGTGTGTCTCTGATACAGACACTGTTGATTGTGTGTCACTGATACAGACAGTGTTTACTGTGTCACTGATACAGGCAGAGTTGATTGTATGTCACTGATACAGGCAGTGTTGATTGTGTGTCACTGATACAGACAGTGTTGATTGTGTGTCACTGATACAGGCAGTGTTCATCGTGTGTCACTAATACAGGCAGTGTTGACTGTGTATCACTGATACAGGTAGTGGTGATTGTGTGTCAATGATACAGGCAGTGTTGATTTTGTGTCACTGATTCAGACAGTGTTGATTTTGTGTCACTGATTCAGGCAGAGTTGATTGTGTGTCACTGATTCAGGCAGTGTTGATTTTGTGTCACTGATACAGGCAGTGTTGATTGTGTGTCACTGATACAGGCAGTGTTGATTGTGTGTCACTGATTCAGGCAGTGTTGATTGTGTGTCATTCATACAGACAGCGTTGATTGCGTGTCAATGATACAGGCACTGTTGATTTTGTGTCACTGATTCAGGCAGTGTTGATTTTGTGTCACTGGTACAGGCAGTGTTGATTGTGTGTCACTGATTCAGGCAGTGTTGATTTTGTGTCACTCATACAGACAGCGTTGATTGTGTGTCAATGATACAGGCAGTGTTGATTGTGTGTCACTGATACAGACAGTGTTGATTGTGTGTCACTGGTACAGGCAGTGTTGATTTTGTGTCACTGATTCAGGCAGTGTTGATTTTGTGTCACTGGTACAGGCAGTGTTCATCGTGTGTCAATGATACAGGCAGTGTTGATTGTGTGTCACTGATACAGGCAGTGTTGGTTGTGTGTCACTGATACAGATACTGTTGATTGTGTGTCACTGATACAGGCAGTGTTGATTGTGTGTCACTGATACAGGCAGTGTTGATTTTGTGTCACTGGTACAGGCAGTGTTGATTGTGTGTAACTGATTCAGGCAGTGTTGATTTTGTGTCACTGATACAGACAGTGTTGATTGTGTGTAACTGATTCAGGCAGTGTTGATTGTGTGTCACTGATACAGGCAGTGTTGATTGTGTGTAACTGATTCAGGCAGTGTTGATTTTGTGTCACTGATACAGACAGTGTTGATTGTGTGTAACTGATTCAGGCAGTGTTGATTGTGTGTCACTGATTCAGGCAGTGTGGATTTTGTTTCACTCGTACAGGCAGTGTTGATTGTGTGTCACTGATTCAGGCAGTGTTGATTGTGTGTCACTGATACAGGCAGTGTTGATTGTGTGTCACTGATACAGACAGTGTTGATTTTGTGTCACTCATACAGACAGCAGTGATTGTGTGTCAATGATACAGGCACTGTTGATTGTGTGTCACTGATTCAGGCAGTGTTGATTTTGTGTCACTGGTACAGGCAGTGTTGATTGTGTGTCACTGATTCAGGCAGTGTTGATTTTGTGTCACTGATACAGGCAGTGTTGATTGTGTGTCACTGATACAGGCAGTGTTGATTGTGTGTAACTGATTCAGGCAGTGTTGATTTTGTGTCACTGGTACAGGCAGTGTTGATTGTGTGTCACTGATTCAGGCAGTGTTGATTGTGTGTCACTGATACAGGCAGTGTTGATTGTGTGTCACTGATACAGACACTGTTGATTGTGTGTCACTGATACAGGCAGTGTTGCTTGTGTGTCACTGGTACAGGCAGTGTTGATTGTGTGTCACTGATAAAGACAGTGTTGATTGTGTGTCAATGATACAGACACTGTTGATTGTGTGTCATTGATACATGCAGTGTTGATTGTGTGTCACTGATACAGACAGTATTGATTGTGTGTCACTGATACAGACAGTGTTGATTGTGTGCCTCTAAAACAGGCAGTGTTGATTGTGTGTCACTGATACAGACAGTGTTGATTGTGTCACTGATACAGAATGTGTTGATTGTGTGTCACTGATACAGACACTGTTGATTGTGTGTCACTGATACAGGCAGCGTTGATTGTGTGTCACTGATACAGGCAGTGTTGATTTTGTGTCACTGGTACAGGCAGTGTTGATTGTGTGTCACTGATACAGGCAGTGTTTATTGTGTGTCACTGATACTGACACTGTTGATTGTGTGTCACTGATACAGGCAGTGTTGATTGTGTGTCACTGATACAGGCAGTGTTGATTTTGTGTCAATGGTACAGGCAGTGTTGATTGTGTGTAACTGATAAAGACAGTGTTGATTGTGTGTCACTGATGCAGGCAGTGTTCATTGTGTGTCATTGATACATGCAGTGTTGATTGTGTGTCACTGATACAGACAGTGTTGATTGTGTGTCACTGATACAGACAGTGTTGATTGTATGTCACTGATACAGACAGTCGATTGTGTCACTGATACAGAATGTGTTGATTGTGTGTCACTGATACTGACAGTGTTGATTGTGTGTCACTGATACAGACAGTGTTGATTGTGTGTCACTGATACAGACAGTTGATTGTGTCACTGATACAGAATGTGTTGATTGTGTGTCACTGATACAGGCAGTGTTGATTGTGTGTCACTGATACTGACACTGTTGATTGTGTGTCACTGATACAGGCAGTGTTGATTGTGTGTCACTGATACAGGCAGTGTTGATTTTGTGTCAATGGTACAGGCAGTGTTGATTGTGTGTAACTGATAAAGACAGTGTTGATTGTGTGTCACTGATGCAGGCAGTGTTCATTGTGTGTCATTGATACATGCAGTGTTGATTGTGTGTCACTGATACAGACAGTGTTGATTGTGTGTCACTGATAAAGACAGTGTTGATTGTATGTCACTGATACAGACAGTCGATTGTGTCACTGATACAGAATGTGTTGATTGTGTGTCACTGATACTGACAGTGTTGATTGTGTGTCACTGATACAGACAGTGTTGATTGTGTGTCACTGATACAGACAGTGTTGATTGTGTGTCACTGATACAGGCAGTGTTGATTGTGTGTCACTGATACAGGCAGTGTTGATTGTGTGTCACTGATACAGGCAGTGTTGATTTTGTGTCACTGGTACAGGCAGTGTTGATTGTGTGTAACTGATAAAGACAGTGTTGATTGTGTGTCACTGATGCAGGCAGTGTTGATTGTGTGTCATTGATACATGCAGTGTTGATTGTGTGTCACTGATACAGACAGTATTGATTGTGTGTCACTGATACAGACAGTGTTGATTGTGCGCCTCTAAAACAGGCAGTGTTGATTGTGTGTCACTGATACAGGCAGTGTTGACTGTGTCATTGATACAGACAGATGATTGTGTCACTGGTACAGGCAGTGTTGATTTTGTGTCACTGATACTGACAGTGTTGATTGTGTGTCACTGATACTGACAGTGTTGACTGTGTCATTGATACAGACAGATGATTGTGTCACTGATACAGAATGTGTTGATTGTGTGTCACGGATACTGACACTGTTGATTGTGTGTCACCGATACAGACAGTGTTGATTGTGTGTTACTGATACAGGCAGTGTTGATTGTGTGTTGCTGATACAGGCAGTGTTGAATGTGTGTCACTGATACAGGCAGTGTTGATTGTATGTCATTGATACAGGCAGCGTTGACTGTGTGTCACTGATACAGACAGTGTTGATTGTGTGTTGCTGATACAGGCAGTGTTGAATGTGTGTCACTGATACAGGCAGTGTTGATTGTATGTCATTGATACAGGCAGCGTTGACTGTGTGTCACTGATACAGACAGTGTTGATTGTGTGTCACGGATACTGACACTGTTGATTGTGTGTCACCGATACAGACAGTGTTAATTGTGTGTTTCTGATACAGGCAGTGTTGATTGTGTGTTACTGATACAGGCAGTGTTGATTGTGTGTTGCTGATACAGGCAGTGTTGAATGTGTGTCACTGATACAGGCAGTGTTGATTGTATGTCATTGATACAGGCAGCGTTGACTGTGTGTCACTGATACAGACAGTGTTGATTGTGTGTTGCTGATACAGGCAGTGTTGAATGTGTGTCACTGATACAGGCAGTGTTGATTGTATGTCATTGATACAGGCAGCGTTGACTGTGTGTCACTGATACAGACAGTGTTGATTGTGTGTCATTGATACAGACAGTGTTGATTGTGTGTCACTGATACAGACAATGGTGATTGTGTCACTGATACAGGCAGTGTTGATTGTGTGTCACTGATACAGACAGTGTTGATTGTGTGTCACTAATACAGAGTGTTGATTGTGTGTCATTGATACAGGCAGTGTTGATTGTGTGTCACTGATACAGACAGTGTTGATTGTATGTCACTGATACAGACAGTTGATTGTGTCACTGATACAGAATGTGTTGATTGTGTGTCACTGATACTGACAGTGTTGATTGTGTGTCACTGATACAGACAGTGTTGATTGTGTGTCACTGATACAGACAATGGTGATTGTGTCACTGATACAGACAGTTTTGATTGTATGTTGCTGATACAGACACTGTTGATTTTGTGTCATTGATACAGATAGTTCATCAAAGTGAGACCACTTGGCCACTTGTGTCAACCTTAGACCTTTAGTTGTCAGGATCAAGAGGTCAGGGGTTGTATTCTTGATTGACCTTCATTAAGATCCATGACGTCAGCACCATACTTGAGTCACTGCTTTCACTACAGGTCCTATGACTTTCCATGTTATGCTGATTGTAGAAACCAAAACACTTCCAAAGGTGGAATTAACACAACACGTTCACAGAAAGAGTATTAATCACACGTACATCCCTACCAACTCCCTCACATCCTGAAACACTTTTTTAAACAAATCAACCATAAATACCAATTCTTAACACTGATTCAAATCAATAAAAATCACACAGACAAAACCAAGTGATGTATAGAATAGAAAACTTTATTCAACCATTAGACATCGCAATTCTAAAGTTTTCAAAGAGGAAAACTTCTCATCTAATGACAATTTTCAAGAGTTTTTCTCCCAGCAGTTTCTCTCGGCCATCCAAGAATCCACCAATAGATGTACATGCTTGAACACATGATGACCCTAATGTATTTACATGTGTGGTGACATCGTACGACGCCATGATGATCGGTATATAACTTAGATGAGATATCATTTACATTCTGTACATAGACAACAAGGGTCTGACTAGAAATATACGCCTGGATGTTGATTCCATCCATGTAACACTGTGCATTGGTTATAAATTATGTTGCTATTGACGACACTGCAAAGCTTTGCACATTGTATGATAGGTTACAACACTGACATGCGTGAGAGATAATAACAAGCTGATGTCATTCAAGGACAATGTCTCATTACGTTTAATGTTATAACAATTTCCTCCAAATGAATGATCAGTAAATCTGTATCTAAGTATATTTGTTCTCATAGTTAAATCTGGTTGAAATATTAAAACATAACACATTCAAAATTCTAAAATAAACAGAATTTTTTTTTACTTATTAAAATTAAAATGGTTCAATATTCCATAATTTATTAAGTATCTTTATAATATTTTTCAAAAATCTGTTGCAATTAAAAAAGATCAATCTACTTAGTTAATGCTAAACATATTTAAACCCCAAATTTTATTGTTAGTATCAATAAAATATTATTCCACTTCCAACAATATCAACTGCACTGGAGGGAATATATATCGATATATCTTAGTATCAGTTCAATGGAGCAACAATTTCTTCAACAATGGTACAAAACAAGAATAAATACATGTAAACAATAAATATCTTATATAATCTAATCCCAATATACACTGCACATAAGTGAAGGATTAAGCTGGATTAGTTAAAGCTAGTTGGTTAGCTTGTGCCAAAATGTAAATCAGCTATCTAAATCAATTTATATCTATCAAAAATATGTCAACAATATAAATTTTGGTTAAAGTTGGTTATTTTATATCCCCCTTCATCAAGTCTGCTTGGTGTCTGTATATTAAGAAATGCTTGTATACAAATGGGTGTAAGGTCTTAATTGTCATGCCCATAATTGAAAATTGTACATTGATGATGACGACACTTCTTGCATCCCATAATATCATCGATGGCAGTAACAGTACATGCATTATTGAAGATGTTAGTTGTCAAACCTGCAACTTGTCTATATACCTGATGTTAATGTGACGCACACTGTTAATATAACAGACGTTGATTGCTAGCAACCATCAAGCAGCCCGAAAACAAGACTAAGCTTCCTCACCATAAGAAGCCGAAAATACAAGAGGGCGTAAAATAACAAGTTGTAAAATCACAAGAAAAGGTCAGGTTTAATGAAATAAGAAGTTTTAGAAAGAACAGCTATAAAAAATAGGAATAATCCCTCTTTTTAATATAAATACTACTTGCCAGAGTTAATGGGATATGTTTCCGATTCATTTGATAATCTTAATTATTTCCATAGCAATTCACTGAAATAAAAATCATTGAAATATTTTGAGTATATTCACTAATTCTTCATTTAAGTTTGACCTTTCTTTTGATTTTACAACTAAAGCTAAATAAAATGAAACTGTTAAAAAAATAAATAATAAAATGGTTGTGAAATGATATGAAATCAACATTTGGCACATCAATATGATTCAAGGATCGCCATGCATTAAGCAAAGGGAGGTAACTCTAGCTTTGGATGCCTATAGCACTCAGCCACAGCCTTGTAAATCAGAAAACCTGCTTACTCTGCTACTAGCCTTCTCTCACAACCCTGAATGAAGCCTTCTCGCGCCATGCTTGAAATTGACATACAACTTGATTTCTTTACAAACAGAGTACTTAAACTTTGATTTTTTGCCGAAGATACAAATTATTACTCAGCAAATTAATTGACATACATTTTGATATGAGAAGATTCTTGTAAAAATGATTTGGAGATGAGTGATTGATTGAAATGTACGTATGTCAGTTTCAAGCTATGGAAGTCAAATCATACAATAACACCCTAGTCACAGCAAACACAATGTCATCACGCAATTAATGTGCAAATTACAAAATTATACAATCAGACCATGACGGCTACAAACGGGTTACGCCTACAAAACATGTCACATACAGGCAATGTACATCTGTATAATACACCAAAGAGCAACACATGGTATTATCATTATTATCAGCTTGGCACTTTGGAAGTCTCATCATACACATGCATCAAAATGCATGTGCGGGTGTCCATTTCAGGATGAGCAAACATAAAGAGGAGGAGGTAAATACATCAGCTGTTTCTTGTATATTTCGCAGTCAGCATCAGTCATCTTGAAATCAACATGAACTAATCACTGAACCTCCCATTATGTAGTTGGTATTCTTCCAATAGTACAATACCATCCGCAGAATCAATTCAACCATATCAACAAACTGTCAAATAAACTTGACACAATCCATGACAGTAATAGCACTGTATTCCACTATTGTATATTTCAGGCATAAAGCAAAACTTGGTGTCTTGTCACAGAATTTCGGATCAATTTCACGAAGTCGTAAAACTCTAAACTAGCACTGTTACGTTTCCGAGTTCTTGGAGCGTTGGTTCACACAGTTAAGCACTTTCTTCTTTGAAGGCACAAATCAAAATGCATAAGATGTCAATTCGACATCCATCTTCGTCAGCCAATGCACACTATGCATGATAAGCATCCAGTAAAAGCAGGAGACAGGCATGTCAAGAACACTTATAACTGACATACACGTCCTCAAGGTTGTCATGACACTTCTAAAATGGTTATAAAATCGGTACATTGGCATCAGTGCCTCAACTTGCATAGTTCCTGGTGTTGAAGAGTTGTTCTAGTGAGAATGTGATCTAGATTGTGAAGTAACTCCGTTTCACACGTGCTGTAATTCTTTCAATCTTATTGAAAGTCTGAGTGCTAAATGAATCTTGTGGTTCATTTAAAGGGTTCATTAATCAGATCTGTCACAATGAACTCAATGTAAGGGTATTAAAATGAACATTCTTATGGCACATGAACTGATACCTTTTGGCAGAAGGTGAACCCAAGGGCGTTTCTATATATTGCTATGCGTCATAAAGGATAATGTTCCTTTAAGCACAACTTCAGCCTTTGAATTCAAAAGCCGTCAAGTACCCCTTGAACTGATCCATGGTAAAGACACCAATATACAAATGCTGGTTCACATATAAATGGTCATCAGGGGAGATAACTCTGAGTCAATGTCTCACACACATCTTTCCAAGCAAGAAATTCCAAATCTGTACAGTATTTGCTTGAAATCTTCTCGTCAAAGGGAGATAACTCAAAGCGTTGACTCAACACTAGAGCTGGAGAACTCCTGTATACTGCTGTGACTGTCGAGGCTGGTGGAGTCGCTGTCGTTACTCTGTGGGCTGGAGTAGCTGGCAGCCTCTTGCAGCCTCATCAACATATTAACCTGAAAACACAAGTTCATAGTCAATAAAAAATACTGATACTGCATAGGAGCCCATACCTACATTTAATCCTGATGAGGGAAAACTGAATTATCGGAGTAGAATTGAAACCAATTAGAGCATCTTATATTGCATTATTAAAATTTTCTCTACACATTCAGTTGAATGTGAGGTGAAATTGGGTTTAACGTCACGTGTGTATGTGGCTGCTTGTATTAGTCCAGACTTATGCCGATTTTATAGTGCTAACCCACTGCGATACCATGCCGCAGTTTAACATAAATACCCCATTCAGACACAGTATACTGACTCTGAGCTGACCAGTCCTTGTTTTATCCCCTTAATGCTGAGTGCCAGGCAGGGTAACAACAAGTACCATCTTTTACCATCTTTTGGTATGATGCGGCCAGGGATCGAACCACCAACATTCTGCTCTCTGAGCAAACACTCGACCATTGACGCGGTTCGCAAAATGATTACAGTACCTGAGTAATTAACTTAAAGCCAATTAGTTATCTGGAAACTAATGCGAGCATCTCAGATCACCTTCTCAGTCTCAAGAAATGTCATAAAGATATAACTATATCAACTAAGCTCTAGGTTTCATTACGCTTTTGTTATGCCAGTGAATAAGTAGAATTTGACCAAGTTTGTGGCAATGGCTAACCAACCATCTGGCTCCTCCCTGCAATAACTAAGCCCACAGTGATGCTACATACCAGAGGGTCCCCTGGATCCCCTTCTGAAGTGTTGCCGGCTGTCTTTGTTTTCGACTTGTTCCCGCTCACAGAGACCTGCGCTGTCTGGGAATCATAGCCAACATCTTCTGGTCGTATCCGCAGCAATGACTTATCCTTGTCGTTGTTGCTGCCGCCGCTCCAAGGGTAGGACTCTATCACCCAATCTGTAGGATCCTCCCAGGGGGCCCTCTTCCCATACACCTGGAAACAGCAGAACAATTCGGTAACATAGATCCCTTGATGATGTTTTCTGGGATGTGTAATAATTAAGCTGATACCCGGTACTACTTCAAAACATTCACAAATCTGCCGACCCTAACAAAAAGTAAAGAATGGATAAATACATAATCTAATAAGGCTATTATTTTATTCCAAATTTGTGATATTTTTCGCAAGTAATATAAAATATGATGTTCTTATAAATTCATGGGTTTCATTTTTCAAGTGATGTCTGAAAATTTTACAAAACCAAAAAGCAAATTTCACCAGTCGCCTGAAGCAGTGGTGTACTGGTTGATGGTAATGTGGGTATACCTGTAGTCCCTCCCGGACGGCCTCCAGCATGTAGGGCACTAGCGAGTAGTTCCACAGATCCGTGAACCACACCTGGGACCCAGAGATGTCCATCGGACAGGACAGGAACAGCCGTGGACCTGGAACACATGGACACAGTGAGACTTGATTGTCACATCCCCACAAATCACAATCATTAAATATACAAACCCATGTGAGACATCTGAAACTGACAAAGTTCAAGATAACAGTATTTCTAGACACATAGAAGTTGGATATATTTATGACAAGTAATAAGTTTCACGTTTCAGGGATTTTCTTCTTGACCCTTCATCACCTGATATTCCTTCTCATCAAAGTTAAAATAGGTTTTTCATTTATACAATGATCTCAGAAGAAAGCCCCAGCTGACACGGGCCACAGATGTTCCCATTTAGATTTGATGCTGACTCAAGGCTGGTTGGTTGGTTTGTTGTTTCACGCCGCACTCAGCAATATTCAAGCTATATGACAGCGGTCTGTAAATAATTGAGTCTGGACCAGACAATCTAGTGATTGACATCATGAGCATCGATCCACGCAATTGGGAAACGATGACATGTATCAACCACGTCAGCGAACCTGACCACCCGATCCCGTTAGTCGCCTCTTACGACCAGCATAGTCATCTTTTACAGCAAGCATGGGTTGCTGAAGATCTATTCTACCGTTATAAGGACAAGTATGGGATTCGAACCCATGACAAGCAGAACCTGGTAGTCCTGGACCATGAGACCGCATTCATCAAGAATGAGTGAATGTTGTTTTACACCACAGACTATATAATCATAGCTTAGCAGCCTGTACATAACCAAGATACTGGCTGTTGAAATAATATCCTTGGCAAAACTTTCCACTGGAGAAAGTAATATCCCAGGTAAAAATACCCAGTGCTGAACTTGGCTGGAGTCATGGAGTTCTATTTTGGCTGAACTAACAAGTGTATGCATAGTCCAATACAAAAATGGTTTAAGAAATTAATTTTTGAAACTTGGTTCATAAACAACATGGCAACTGCCGTGAAGATTTAGGTTGATTGCAGGATTTGCAGAGTATGTTGCTGTCAACTGAACATTGAAGCCAATGCAAGTGATATGAGAGGTGGAATCTGATTGGTCAATAGGAGATAGGAGGGATGAAGAAGGGATATATCTTGTAATTGTCACTGTTGGCGATACAATCGAGCCACAATATTCAAGCCTAGTTCGGCAAAGGTGGAAACTGGACTTTTATGATCAGTTACCTCCCTTGCCTAGGGAAGATGGTCCTCATCAGTCAACCCTTACAATAGGAATTTGAGACTACTCTACCCTGTCATCCGAACATATCTCCCCTGAAACAGAGGCATCCACCAGGAACTCACCAATGGTGACGTCAGAAGAGCTGTGCGTCTCCAGGAACTTGTTGATGTGGGCCCACACCTTTGGCACCCAGTCGATAATCTTGTTGAGGTCATTGTTCCTCATCCCTGTCCTGACCTCGGCCTCAACCAGCTTTCGGCGCAGGTAACGCCCCAGGAACCCCTTCACCGGTTCCATGTGGTTGGCACACAATACCCACCTAACAGAGAGAGACATTGACATTATATGTAATATGTTGTTAGGCATACATAATATTGGGTCATGATAATATATCTGATGGATAATAGCACACAATACCCACCTAACAGAGAGAGACATTGACATTATATGTAATATGTTGTTAGGCATACATCATATTGGGTCATGATAATATGTCTGATGGATAATAGCACACAATACCCACCTAACAGAGAGAGACATTGACATTATATGTAATATGTTGTAAGGCATACATCATACTGGGTCATGATAATATGTCTGATGGATAATAGCACCGATCTGCCATTAGTCAGGCTGAGGAAAGTTGCACTCTGAAGAGAAGTTTCACTTATTGAGTTTTAATTCTTAAACTGCCCACAATACACAAGTCAAGTGGTATTTGTCTGTTCCTTGGCACCAAGTCCCTTAAAATACTGAAAATATTCATGTTGCATGTACCTATTTTTAACCAAAAAAATTAAATCAAGAAAAAAAACCATGTCAATTTTTAACTGTGTCAATAAGATATTAAAGTTATTAGTAGGGAGACTTTCAACACTTCATCTCATGTCTGTCCAATCCATGGAACAGTAAGGTGCAACTCCCTTACAGAATATAAAGATTGCACCCAGTGAGTGAGATACGTAATGGCACGGTTACCATGGTAACCTGCTTGTACAGCATGCTGTTGCTGGGATACTGACCTGAAGTTGTGGTGAAGCTGGAGGTTTGTGGCAGCATTTGTTGCCTGGTTCATCGTCCCAATGATGTAGGGGCTGAAAGTAACAAATTGTAGAAATATTATTTCTGACCATTATTCTGACCATTATTCAGAGATTTCCAAAATCTAGGAAGAGAAGAATATAATCTTGTTGAAATTGAGCATAACTAAAATATAACATATAAGTTTGAAATATTAGACAATTTTATGAATTCTAAAGTAGCTACACACTGAATTAAATTTCGAGTGATGTTTTCCAATATGTAAGGTACATAACACAAATATATAATCTCTCTATCGGTTGATCATGAATGTTTTGTTTGTTTGTTTGTTGTTTAATGCCACATTCAGAAATATTTCAGCTATATGATGTCAGTCTGTAAATAACTGAGTCTGGAGCAGACGATTCAGTGATTGACAGCATGAGCAGCGATCTACGCAATTGGGATACAGTGACATGCATCAACCAAGACAGAGAGCCTGACCACTTGATCCCCTTAGTTGCCTCTTATGACAATCACAGCTTCCTGGAGACCAGTTCTATCCCTTCACAGGGGGCTCACGAAGTGTACTATTAGCTTGACTTACCATTTCTGGTACTTGACACTGAGGAAGCCGTTGAAGACCTCGCCCAAGGAGCCCACATGGTGCAGGTTATCCAGAATGATGACAGTCGGCAGTTCATTCACGTTCGTGTTCTCACACTGTTCCGCAATATTTGACAAGTACTGGCGAAGGTCCTTCGAAGACTTGTGGTCAACATTGAATGTAGCCACTGATCCAGCGGTCAGTTCCCGTCCAGATCTTGATTAGAAAAACAAATATGTAAGTAAAACTTGTCCCACATAACCATAAATTATGGGCAATTGTCTACAGTGTTGTCTTTTATTAGTGGTACAATATTCAAACAAATTATTAGGGGTGAAACAATACAGAAAGGTCACGATATGATAAGGTCACAATATGATATGTATCGAGATACGCATATTTACGTCAAATCACGTGGAACTTCTTGACATTAAATATTTCAGAGCAGGTTCCAAAGGAAAAGGTAGCTGTAGCAGCTCTTCTTACTAATGAACTTGAAAAGCTAATTACAACACATTTTGCAGTACATGTATTTAACTGACAAAATGAGTTGTAAGTAATATATTTTAGCAACTTTATCATCTTTATATCAATACGGAAAAAAACATATTGTGTATCGTTTCACCACATGAAAACTCACGATGATATCCTTTTGACCCTACTGAGCAAGCTCCATCTGTGAAATTGTAGAAGCACCCACAACAGAATTATAGTAAGCTTCATACCTCCCCCAAAGCATGACCCTCACACAAATCTCAGAGTGATCCAACCAGAATTTGAATGCTTTTCATATTGATGGCATCATAGTACCTTACCCCAAATTATCTCCCCTTGGCCATGTTCCACCATTTTGTTTGAACCCCCAATGCTCATACAAGACAAACTCACCTCAGCACCAAATGCTCAGCCAGTTTCTGAGCCAGGTAAGTTTTCCCTGTCCCGCTTGGGCCACACAGGATTATCCTCCGGTGTTCAATGAGGAGGGAGACGTATCGCTGGATGATCGTCTTGGGGATCATTGACTCAAAGGCAAGGGAGTCCACACTGATCTGCTTTGTACCTGAAGACATACAAACATACAGGTCTTATTTCTGTACAGCATTTCAATTAGTCAAGGCCATAATCATTTTGACAGATACATTTGAAATTAATGTTTGATGCATGATCTTTCACTCCTTGAAGCATAGCTGATGTGCATCATGAAACGTGAAACCATGAAACATTACAGCTTACATGGCAGATGTATTTTAAGAAAGTGTCGGAATTATAATTGATTTTACAATATTCTCTGATCATATTGTCAACTCCAATTTTCAAACTTCACAAAACCATCACAGTCCATGAAACCCCTGTTTCAGTAAAATCTTCTTGACTAATGAATCACATCCATGGATGTGAAACGTATTCAGTCAAAATTAATTGTTCAAATGGTTTGATTTTTTTCACACTGTTCCTTGGCATGTGACATTATATCAATAGTGCCTGATGATTACAAGTATCAGAATTTCTGTTGCAGGGTGACATATACCAGGGTTAGAAATTGGCACTAGTCCTATAGTCCTTGCAAATCTGCCCAATAGTTAAGGTATCATAAGGACTAGTAGATATTTGTCATTTTTAGGGGTTTTGCCATATATCATCAATATAAGGACTAGTGGACCAAAAATGTTAGTTTCTACCATGATATACCTATATATAAGTGCTGCAACGAGTCCAAATTTACTGCCCGGGTACCGATTCCCCTATTACCCGACCCTACCTGGGTACCCAGCATAGGTCTCAAGCGATAGGTACAAACTGTCTGATTGGGAAATGTTTGACAGTAGCCCTGGCAAAATGTATTTTGCCCTAGCATGTTATTCTCCCAGTGCTTGCTACCTCCCTTACCTTTAAGACAGATGCTGATCTGCATTGTTTCCCCGACCAGGTATCCCACAGGCAGGAGCTCAGGTAGATCAGCATCTGTGGAAAACACACATAGAAACATAAATAACACCACAGAGGCACCACGACAGACACAATATTATATTTACATCTCACATGCAATTATATGGAACATACCGTATTCGACGAAATAAGCGCCCAGGGCGCTTTCAAAATTAGAAATAGGGGGCTCTAATTAGAATATTATTTTGGTGGAAAAAAAACAGAGTTGAAAGATAAATTTTGTGGTTTATGCTGACAGCCTGAAATGTTTATATACGAGAGATACATTTTTCCAGAATTAATTGCCCCTAATTAAGAGTGCATATAACACACAAGTGTGTATTATACGCAAATGAATAAGTGTTGTGTACATTGATCAATCGAAAGGGGTGCTAATTGGTATTGTTCACTAGCCGATATATTAGAGCGGGGCACTTATTACGTTGAATACGGTAACTATTATACATGTTAAAACTATTATACATCTGTACATTAAAAGGCGCAAACACTCAAAGATGTCGCAACAGGTTTAGGATACAGAAAAAATCATGTCGTCATTTGATAAAAGGAGGGCAAGTTGTTGACTTGTTGATAACACATTAAAACCATGTTATTACACGTCCGTAAAATATCATGACATAAAAATTCACATAAAGCACAGCTTTATACAACAGGAGTCTCATGCATCATACTATTACTGATGCCTGTGCTAGCTACTATCAAACCTGCCAAATTTTAACTCCTCTGCTCATTAACATCCACAATTACTGATCGCCTCATCTGGACTGTTTCACCAGTCTGTTTGTTTATGTATCTTTATGCATATCACAAGTTTTCTATACCATTACATACATAAGAAACAAAAAAGGCACTATAATAATGATGTGATTTTTTTCACAAAACAGGTTTGGAATTAATATTTGTGTCGGATCAACTACCGTTTTGTTTACTGTCAAGTACACACCTTTGGTCCGAGTGATGTCACCAATATGGTAGGAGAAGACGGATTTTATTAAAAAAACAGGTTTGGAATTAATATTTGTGTTGGATCAACTACCGTTTTGTTTACAGTCAAATACACACCTTTGGTCCGAGTGATGTCGCCAATATGGTAGGAGAAGACGCTCTCTGCACTCAGACCTAGGTTGGTGACCGGATCCACTCGTAACACGTATTCCTGTCAACATATCATACATTTCAGAACAGTTTGTTTGGATGACATTAAAAGATTGTCATAAGATCACAAAGTCTGTATTTTAATCTCCAAAAGACGGCGGTGATATTGATTGTGTTTTTGAATTAACAATTTGAGTGGACTACAAAGACAAATTATTAACTAAATTTCGCCTTAATTAATATTCCAGAAAAAACATCCATAGATATAATTACAAACTACTATCCATATATTGTGAAAAATATTTAATTTACATGATATATTTGGTCAAAATGGACACCTGTTTTGGTCTGTATAATGAAAATAAATATTGCTTGTAGCCAGTTGTAATGAAAGTAGGACTTTTTTCAGTATCTCTTATAACCTTACCTTAAATATTTTCCTGACAATATTATCAAGGATGTCCCATTTGGTCTTGCCACTGACAGACAGTGACCCAATCAGCACCTCTGCTGGCCTCTGTAACACAAACAGGAAGATATTCATAATTACTTTGAATTTGACTGCAAATCATGAAATAATGGAAGCATGAAGTTTTGAAGAAATGTGATTGTCTCCTGTTTGCTTGAAGTAGTGCAACTGCAATATCGAGTTATCATATAATGGATACTGATATCAATGCCATAAACTGATCCGATAAATATGCAAATGATATTGCCCAGGGTGCCGTTGTACAAAACAACCTTAGTGCTATGACTGTTGTAAGTCTATGTTAAGGTATGGGAGTTACGATCACCTTAGCGCTAAGCTCGCTGGATAACAGCACCCAGGACTACTTTTCAGTTCCATATAAGCAATGTCTTCTGATGTTCCTAATAAGATTAGATAGGGGTGAGGTGAAGTGAAATGGGGTTTAACGTCGCGTCCAAGATTATTGCACTTATATAGCAACGTGCATGTACGTGTGTGTGTTTGTGTGGCTGCTTGTACTAGTTCGGACTGATGCCGATTAAAAGTGCTAGCTCACTAAGATACCATGCCGCAGTTTAACATGAATACCCCACTCAGACACAGTATACTGACTCTGAGCCGACCAGTCCTTGTTTTAGCCCCTTAATGCCGAGCGCCAGACAGGGTAACAACAAGTACCATCTTTTAACATCTTTTGGTATGACGTGGCCGGGGATCGAACTCCGGACCTTCCGCTCTCCTGGCGGACGCTGTACCACTAGACCACGGAGGCAGTCGATTAGATAGGGGTTTCCCCGATGTGAGGGTGTTTCTGAAGACAAACACGGCTAGAATATGATCTGTTCTTTACCTCAATGCCCATCCGGGTTGGGTCTGGGTTCGAGCCCAGATATACTGTGATCGTCACTCGTTTCCCCTCTCTGTCATTTGCTGCTGTCTCAGCCAATAGCATGTCTACAACCAAAGACATAAAAGCATAGATGAACAAACATTTCGGATCATCAACAATAAACTACTCATTTCAGTGTTTCACAACATCAACACTCATCAAAATGAGACTGTTTACACCCATACGGTGCCTCCCTGAATGAAGATCTGAGGTCACCTCCATAGATCAGGGGTCAGGGGTCAGGGGTTACCTGAGGCCACCATCTATGGAGATGTCCTCAGATATTCATGCCGAGAGGTTTGTATAGGAGTAAAAGATCTCATTTTGATGAGATTGCACAACAAGGTTACAATTGCACTTCATAGTGTTTATACTATAAATGAAGAGCTTTGAAAACACAAACTGACAGATTTATTCATCAACATTGCAAGGTGTATGTTATGTTAGGAAATTAAGAAGTAGAATACAGGGATGAGAATGGTTATTTTCCTTTTCAGCTGAAACTTCTTTGCAATGGAGTGTGGTCCATGAATTGGGTGTTTATGGCGGGAGCCATCAGATTTTAACAAATTTGTGGTCACTTAAATTTGCGACGGATCCATGTAAAAATTCTCTCCCCTGACAATAAACCGAATTTTATATTTTATATATTACATGTTATCATTAAAATACTTTTTCCAAAACATTGATATCAAAACAAGCATAAATCATTGAGTGTTTGCGGAAATGTGTCATATTCAAGCTTATATCACTATTGCTTGATAACAATGGTACGGAAATCCAGTGATTGATAGCATGAGCACTGATCGATGCAGGCTTATGATGACACACAATGAGCCAGGTCACACATCGTTGCCATCTCATCCATGTTAGTAGTCTCTTACGACACACATGGGGCACTGGGGACCTCATGGGACCTCATGGGCGCCAGAATCCCACAAGAGGGTGTGTTTGAGGTTGACATTACCTAGACTACTCTGATCGGTGAGGCTGAGAGACCGGTCCAGAGAGTCGTTACTGGCACGGGTGTGAGCGAGGGAACTCTGGGATATATTGAGTGTTCGGGAGGAGGTAGCTAGGCGCTGAAGTCGGTCGTTGTCAGCTTTCAAATGTCCCATTTCGCTCTGAAATAAAAATGTTTCCATTACCAGATGTCTAGAGCTCATATTTCACATACACATTTTCCTAAAAGTCTGAAACAAAGGACTTGTACTTAACACAAGGTCTGCAGGGACAACATTAATGAGTATCATTGGTGCAAATTGAGTTTGATATAAGAGATTTCTACATAATATCCTAATGAGGTGGGATTGGTAAAAGGGGAATATACTTATTATTTTGTTCCCTAATGGCTAATAACAGAGTACAACAAATTATTACTGAATTTTGGTGCACATGTGTTAGTCAAGGATGGGCTCAAATGAGGTCATACATTCCGCAATGTAAACAATGTCAAAAGTCAAGGATTAAATATTTTCATATGGAAAATGGAGTTATACAAAAAAGGAATATTATTGGAAAACTGAAGCCATTATTTCATCTCTTTTGTTCCATACATACCTTCATTTTGTTCATTGTCTCTCTGAGTTGTTCCAGCTGATGTGCTGAAGACAGGGCTTCCAGTCGGATGTCTGTCAATTTCATGTCTTTTTCTCTTAACAGATTCTTTAATTCATTTACAGATGCATGATCCTCTGTTTCACACAGTCTAAAAAATCATATACATTTATTGTAAGCATCAAATAGGGGCAATTGTAGAACAAGTATACATAAAACAAATATTCAAATGAAAACAGAATTTCTGGGACTAGTTTCAGACAAATTATAATTTTAATGTGATTATTCAGTTCACAATCATCCACAAAGTCTATTTTAGATCAAAAAGTTTTCAAAATTATGAAATAATATTTTTTTGGAAAATGTTTTGATATATGTGTATAAATAAACTTTTCGAAAGCTTTCCTATGAATACCCACACTTGTGTCTTAATTCAAAAGTATCAGAAATAAATCTAAAAAACAACATCACCAGAAGATAGATAAACGTGTACTTACGCTCCTGAGCTGTGTGAACCCTTCATGACTCCAGAACCATTAGGAACATGCGTCATCTGCAGGAGTGGAGAATTTGGTGCGGAAGCGTTGGAGCGAAGACTTGCAGTATCAGGCTCCACATCCGATATGGAACCGTGCTTGTTCTTCTTTCTGGAGAACGCTTTACTAAATGAACTTCTTAGCTGAAAGAATTAAGATACACTTTTCACCACCCTGGAAATTCCTGCAGTAAATCTGTGGAATTGGAATCCACAGATATCAGTTATGAATAAAAACATAAACTTGGTAATTTGGCAATTCAGGATCAAGCTACAACAGACTGATGAAAATAAAATCGTTTTGATGACATTCCATGGGAATCATGGCAGTAAATGATCAACACAAAGCCATTACCATGGCGGAAATGAATCCAGTTACACTCCAGAATGCAAAGCATGTGCGAATCCTCAGTTACAAGGATTATCATGTAGCATAAATGTCATCCATTCCAGCAGCAATGTACACCACGGAGGACATGTACACCGGCACATTGGCGTGTTCAAGGGCAAAGCTTAAAGAACAGCTGAGGACTGTAACAGCCTTCACTGACAAGCCGAAAAGTGACAAAAAGACCTCCGTATCCACCATCCATCAACTTTCCTGTTTTATACGTAAAGAACAGTTTTTACTGAAATGTAATCCCAATTTCCCCACACCTGTCAATAGGGTCAGTGCCTTGGCTTTGAAATTCACGTTCCAGAAAAAAATTGAATTTCAAGATCTGATTTCCAAATCAGTAGATGCAAGGGTAAATGTCTGAAATTCTACTATATGCGATGTAATTGATCCGGAGAACACAAAAAGTGCTGCCGAAATTAATATTTTAGAGTCTGCCAGGGTTATGAAACTAATTGCCTAAGCAGATATCTAGGAACCAAGGTGTAAAATAGACATGATATTGACACCATGGTTCATACTAGATATTACATGGTTAGGTAATAATAAGAAACATATCACAGCAAGATGCAATGCATAATATATATTCAATCGTCTCCAGAACATAAACAAACAGCATAAACACAAACAAAAACACAAACTCATCGCGATCATTGACATTTTCATTTAAGCATGAAATAAATCATCCACTAGATCTTATAGGTAAGACTGCAATAAATAACAATCATATTCTAACTGATCTTGCAGTATATTGCAAAGTCATAGAGCTTATAATTAATTACACCAACTGACCCCATAGCATGAAACAAGATCCAGAAATAATTACTGTAAATGTGATGCAAGCGGTAGGTGTGTTTAAGCATGGAAATCCATTATTGACAGCCACAGTACACATCTGGAAAAGATACTATATATTTTCGAAAAAAATACTGCCAATAAAAGCTACCTAGAAACTAATTGTTTTGAAAAAGATTGTAAACAGCACAGTAAGGACACAATATGTTTCAGGAAATTAGTATAAATTGAACGACAGCAACATCATTATCACTGAGTGAGTCATGTTGTTTTTATTCTCCAATATCAGTGTTGTTGCTGAAGGTGAAGTAGACAACAAACACGTTTTGCACATGATAAACTGCTTTTTGATACTGTTTGTATCATAAGGTTCACACAACCATACAGACCCATCTCTCAAAATGCAGAAATTAAGATATGATTGTTTAGCACGAATATGTTTCCTCACACAATCTGTAATAAGTAGCCAGTTTAATATGGCCTGTTAATTTACTATGAAGAAGATTTATTTGTATTTGTTCTGTAGAATAAATAAAAAGCCACAAAAACATTTCCATACTCATAAGAAATGTCTACAAAAAGCTGAATCTTCAAGCTTAAAACTTCAAGATTCTTTTTATATATTTTTTTTTCATCTCTTTTCATCCAGATCAGGAAACTATACCAAATAACCCAATTTGTCTAAAAATGTCTGGCTAAGGAAGCGTAGGGTTAAAATAAAATATACAAACAAAAACAATAAAGGTCCTAAATCTAGATTAATAAATATTCTATTAGTTCATAAGATAACAACATTTTTCATGTAAAACAGTCAAAATCAAGTGTTCTAAATATAAACATGTGCATCTTGTCTTTTTGAAATAAATGTCATCTGTTTAATTAATTTCACTACAATGAAGTCCAAAGTCAAATGTCAGGAGTCAGACTTTGTTGAAAATAAACAATGAGCAGTTGTGAGATATTTTTGTAAGCTTCACTCACCCATCCCTTCTTTTTATTTTTCTTGGAGTTTTTGCCGATGTCACCATCAGTGGCGGCGGACTGTTGACTGGCGACACTGCAAGCACTGGATAAACTGTTGATGCTAGACATGCTGTCCGAGGACATCTGACGAACGATACGGCCACCTTCACCTGCAAGAAATTGACCACACTGAATGCTTTCGTAACTCTTCACACAGCCCAAATCATAAAAATTCCTTCTTTTCGAATGTTTAAGCATTTACGGATCAATACCGGGACATACTTTTTGATTCTCCTGTTCAGATTTCAAAAGACATCATTCTTTTTTTCTTTACCTTCACAAATATAATTTATCTTCTTTCATTGATCACATGGTATTGGCTAACAGTCAAGACTAACATTTAAAAAATACTCTGGTTCAATTATAATCCTCAGGCTCATAAATTAATTAAATTATAAATCAGTAGAAATAATTCCAAATAACGTGCATACATCAACATATCAGTTACATCAACTATTTTCCCAGACATGTATCCTCAGGTGACCCTTTGTTTGCTTCGAATCACCCAGTTTCTTATTGCTTGCAAAAGCTCAGACATTATTTGTTGGCATAATCTTATTAGACTACCATTTATCATCTGAAGAGATACATTTCTCCTTCAGTTTTCTATTTCAAGAAAGAAAATATCATCTCAGCTGCAAAAATTCTGATCAAGTTGATATGATTATTGGCTTTATTCCAGACTAGTTGTGCCACAAGTAGTATTTTAACCAAGATTTACTGCAGTACTGACAGTAATAGGTGATAATATTTACCTGATGACTAAATATCTAGGCAGCAAATTTCCACATGCACTTTAGCGAAAAGAAACTTTGTTAATTCCACAAATACCACACAAGGTGGAGCGTTAAAGATGCGCCAGATGTTTTCACTGGGGGGCCATATGTGGACGTTTAGGCTTGAAATGTGCATGTTTAACTCGTAATTCATCAGCTTTCAAAATCAGTTCTGTTTACAATTTGTTACATCCAATGCGTGGTAATCCAATCCTCTTCGGGCTCACATAAGTTAAAACTAGATAGAGTGCAGGTTTGCTCAGCATGGTTAATCACACAAACAAAACTGGTATGGGGTACAATTAAAGATGATCACGAAATTAGGAATGAAACATAGTACCCAGATGTTCTGTGTTAAATTTACCACACACAAAAATAAGTTCCTTTTCTGTTTGCTGTCATAGGTTATGTTGTTTTTACTACACAAACCAACCAATCACAATGAAGAAACAGTAAACTGATAACAGAATTTTTTCCACATATATTTTATTTACATTCTTCCCGATTGTCACTGTACCTCAAACAGTAAACAGAGACATGGATAACTTAGTCGAATCACACACACATACTATTGTTTATGTTAGTCAAAAAGAGAATTATATGAACAAAATTGTTTTTTTTACATATTCTCTTACAAAAAAATCCTCTATGCTACCAATCAAAATATCAAACCATGCACAGACAGTGGAATTGGGGTTTAATGCTATTTTAGCAAACTTGTTGACACTCAAAATTGGTTTTACAGATTACACTCATGTTGGGAATAGAAATCACACGTTTTTCATCATGAGCAATGACACTAACCACTAAACTACCTAGACTAGGGAGGTGGGGTAGCCTAGAGATAAAGCGTTCGCTGGTCACGCCAAAGGCCTGGGTTCGATTCCCCACATGGGTACAATGTGTGATACCCATCACTGGTGTCCCCTGCCATGATATTGCTGGAATATTGCTAAAAGTGGCGTAAAACAATACTCACTCACTCACTACCTCAACTACACTTACTCCAAACCACAGGATAACTATGGACCTCAAGCAGGAAGTCAACAGTGAGCTACAGTGACCTACATGCTACCTATCCCTACCATGAATGTCTTTAGGACCCATACCAGGTGAGGTGTGTCGACGCCCAACATTTGGACTGACGAGGCTTTCCTGAATACTGAGCCCACTTTGTCTTTTGAGAGCCTCGATTGTCTGTCGCAACTCATTCAACTCAGAATCCTGAAAAAACAATAAATATCATCACATAACCATTGATTATACTTTTAAAAAATTCAATACTTTTTACAAATATGAATATTTTTGCATGCATGGATTTAATTTAACCTCTGAACTGTAACACTATTTCTGGTGCCTCATCTTGCATGAAGTTTTTTATGACTTTAAAAAACAGATAATGTAATGCTATCTGTAAAAAAAACACCACACCCTGGTACACCATGTAAAAGCATTTGGGAGTTACATCTGTGAAAATATCAAGAAATGCACATCACATGATTCTTTAATTTCAAATATGGCTGCCAGTTATCACCCAAGTCTGATTTATCTCCCTTTAGTTCTTTTGATTTCTGACGAGTGTTGATTAGCAAACATGTTGTGCTGTGAGTCATGGAAGCAGTATTTCATAACATCAGATAAAATCACCACTTTTCTAAATTTACCCATTCAGCACTATGTCTTATCTCCAATGAAGAAACACAAGGATTCAGTTTCACAACTTCCAAACAGGAATTTTTATGTCTCAGATACAAACATAAACTGTGCACCGCCACTCACGGTTTACCAATCGTCCAAACATATTTTTTTTCAAAACTGCAATCTACTTAAATACTCTTGTCAAATCCAAAATATCTCAAAATGTATACATCGTCTATATATTTCTAGGATGAGACAAAATTGTTTGTGTAGTGTGATGCACTTCTATTTGCAAGGAGGAGGATTTTCAAGAAATTAGATTTTGTGAAAATGTGTTTACGTCAATGAAACTCTGTTTTAGCCTGATTTGGTAACATCAACAAATTTTTTGATGAAATACTATTAGAAATAGATAGTTCTCTACACAAAGTATCTCATGTGCATCTGAGACCTTGAAATTATTGGTAAGTAATATACTTTTTTTCTAAGACTTGCAGTAAAAAGTAGGGAAATACAGCACAAAAATAATTACGATTATTAATATTAATAACAGTGTAACTTACACTCCACATTACAATAATCAATTTCATGTTCGAGAAACTATAAATAGTTCTGATGTTTTGCAAAGTTTCTCAAACTTTCCTTATATGTTAATTTCTAATGGTTCAGTCTCACTAAGTAAATTTCTATTATCTCAAAGTTTCTGACATCTCTGAAAACCTCTGAATGACTTCAGTCCCATACATATTGAAACGTTTAATCCATACCTGTTGTGGTGAACATTTTACAACTTTGAGTTCCTCATAACTAAAGTGTCTGACACCTCAAACTTTCAGACATCTCAAAACAAAGTTTTGTTATCTAATTGTTTCTTGTAGCATGCAAACAAAAAATGCAACTGTATTAAGTAAACAATCTACCACTTAACATTTAAATGCCCAAATAGGTAATAATACATGAACAAACAGTATGAAATAGCAATGCTAATATTTGTAACTTGAAAATAAGCAAAGATCATAAAAGAAAACTAAAGTACCAACAACACTACTGTAAATATTTGTACAAACACTAAACTCATCGTCCCTAACACATTTCAATACTTATTTTCACATTATACTGTTTGTCTTGTTGTGTTTAACCCACAGGCAAGGGGCCTTCCCAGTCTAGTCAACTCTCTCAGATGGCTTTCTTGCCAAAAATAATGCATCAATATGGTTTTTTTAACCAACATCAATAAACAAAATGTCCCAGTCAAGGCGGTGTGGACTGGAGATAATTTTTATACATGAAGCAGACTGTTTTCTTTATCGAAAGCACGTAGGACCATCTGTTTTTTGGACGGTTCTTTCAGTTCTGGGATAACATTTTCCAAAAACATTTGCTATTCCAGGTAAAAGGCAAATCGATGATTTGCTAATCGTAAGATCACTCAAGTATCATTTTGACATGCATTACGAAATGTCTCCTTTGTTTTCGGGGATGAAATTGATGACTCCGTGGTGACTCTCCCTAACTGCTGGCATAACACCGCCATGTGGATGCAATAGATGATCTTGTCTATATCTTACGGTCAAACCAATTCCGTTTGACCTTTTCTCTTTAATAATAAGGTCAAATTGCATGATCTGCAAACAATATTATCTGTTGGGTGTTCGACAAGAGATGAATGCTTATGTATACGAAATCAACGCCAGTGAAATGGAATGCGATGTAACAAGTCTCATGTGGGTTGCAGTTACGCAACAAATCATGTCTATTTCCATGCTTGATAAATACTGTATTTGATCCGAAGCACATGACATAACATACAAGCATCGCAGGCGTATGGAAAGAAACAATTCAAGTGTTGGTTTCTATCAGTCACCATCAGATGGAATTTGCTGAATAATATCAGTTCTGTCAAACATCAACATTCAAAATGTTTGACACATGTTGTATTTGGCAAACATTTGCATCATCAACATCAATCAAACACAAGTGACACAGCAATTTATACTAATCACTGATGAAGATTTTATCCATCAAAATTTTATTAAAAAATTTGGACATGTTTGGTTTTTCAAAAACAGAAATCTCATGCTGAAGTTTACAAAAATTATGCATTTAGAATGTTTCACAAAATGAAAGAAAAATGTATTAAAAAAAGAAAACATGTTGATATTGAAAATGTATTGAAAAATGTCATTAGAATATTTTTTTGAAATTACCTGAATATTTTCCTGAGAAGGCCGCACCACCTGGGTGTAAAATTTCATGAATATTTTAAAATTCTGGTTTTCTTCAAAACATTTTTCAAATTCCATTACTTATATGAAGGCAGATAGAATCCATTATATAGCAACTGATATGGCATTCTAACACGAACAACTTCACATTTTCTCACAGTAATTTACTTTTTATCTACTTTTTTTAAAAGGACAGTAGCCCCACTCCATTTCTTAATCACATTTCCTCAAATGCCCTCTCTTTTTTAACTCTCTAACCTTTCAAACAAGACTAAAATACAGTACATTGTTGAAAAACATCCTTGACATTGAAAAATACACATTACCAGTAGAAAGTATCACTTTCAGGAGATGTTTTGTTCAAATACAAAAAGGTTTGATAAATAAGAATGATGAGGTGATCAATTCCCGAACAATGTCTGCGTTCCCTGATGAAACCCATCCAAGTCATGTTTGATATGTTTCCCTCGGAACCTAAACAGTTCACTTGGAGTCCTGTTTTTTTAACACTTCCAAATTCCAGTGCCTAGATCAAGTTTTATTTCAGCTCTTCGACAAAAAATAAATCAACCACCTCTCTAAATAGCTGTCTGGCAAGTGTTTTGTTTATCTGTTTTGCTTCACCAAATGACCTTATTGGATTGTTTAAAGGGCTTTGTACTTTTCATCAAACTTCTTTTTCACAAAATCTGCATTAACTGATTCTGAATTCACACGTTTTTCTCTTTTTTATAAAAAAAGAGACCTTAAATTTACAATGTTTTTAAATCAACTGTCACCCCTTTCAATAATGTTGTAAGATGAAAGCAATTGTGAGATATTAACTTTGAAATTTATTCAGAAACTAAACAGATGTATTAATCAAGTCTTTAAATCCCACACAAACATATATATTTTGTTTCCAGATATATACACATCATGTAAATGTAACAAAAGATATTTACCAAATGCTAACATATTTCTTTGATCTGAATTTTACATGTGTAATATTTAAACTAGATTGTCCCATTACCAATTTTTAAATCTCCCTCAAGTATTTCAAAGTATCCATTCTTAAATAAAGGATTTTGTGGAGGTAAGATGCAGATGCTTTCTTTTCATTTCTTTTCCTTTTTCTTTTCTTTTTTTGGGGGGAGGGAGATTTAAATAAAGTTGGACATGCATGCTGTGCCAGAAATTTTTAATTCATCAAAGAAATTGTCTTAGTTATGAGCCTATAACTGGATGAGTACAGGAACTAGTTAAGTAACTATATGCTAGCCTAGTCTCATTTCTTGAAACACATCCCCTTTACATCAATATTTCCTACTACATCCATTCACTCAGATAAGCAAAAGCCACCCCCAGTCTACATCCTTAAAAAACATCCCATCTTTAAATTTCACCTAACTACAATATTGATTTACCATTTAACAAAATTTAAAAAATAAAATCCACCCCCTTTTAATTTCTTGAAACACATCCCCCTTTAAATCTAACCTAACTACAACATTGATTTACTATAACAAAATTGAGAAAGAAAAAAACACTCCTGTCAAATTTCATGAAACACATCCCCCTTTAAATTTAACCTAACTTCAACATTCATTAACTGTAACAAACTTGTGAAAGTAAAAGCCACCCCAGGTCTCATTTCTTAAAACACATCATCCTTTCAATTTAACCTAACTACAACATGTATTTAATACAACAAAATCCAGAAAGTAAAAGGCATGCCAGCCAGATTTCTTAAAACAAATTTCCCTTTAAAATCAATTAACTAAAATATACATTTATTGTCACAAAACCAGCAAAGATAAAAGCATCCTGGTCTAATTTCTGGAATCAATTCCCCTTTAAATTCTACTTGAAATGCTCACAGTTGCTGCAAACATCTCACCTTTTGTTCAGCAGTTGATGTTAACATCTGGAGACGTGATGTCATGTTCGACAGGCTCTGCTCAAAGGCTGCCACCACATGGGCCTGAAATGTACAAGGAAAAAACATAAATATACAACCAAATATGTAAATAAATATGTCAAGCACTGATATAAGATTTCGAGAGAGCAATGCAGTTGTAAAGCACTAAGTGTTTTTCGCATTGTTTAAGAGCATCAGCTGATTAAAATCTACCCCTGTGAAATTAACAACTACACATGTTGCACATAGCTGTCAACACAAAGGGACCAAGCCCAGAAAACCATGTTCACTTCCCATGATGCACAAACATATACAAATCATCAACAAGGAAACTTGAAATACTCTGAAAAAGTCACTATGTATGATGAACACTTTTTCTATCAAGCATTCCTATAGTTAAGTGAGAACAAGACCTAAGTGTTCAAATTTAACATTCCAATTTTCATAAACTGGTTTTCTTCCCACAGAGTCTGTGAAATTATTCCAGTAATAACGTCAAAGCAGTTTAATTTAGATAGTGAAATAACCATTTTCATAATATACAACAAATTATTATTTCATTTTTCATATCATTCTATAAAATCCCTTTTCAATTTCATTCTAAATCTTTTTTGGATCAGTTGGAAAAGTTGATAAACCAAAGTTAACAACCATGCCAAAAATATGATCTGCCATTTTTCTTTACACCTACAACTTCTAATACACCATTGGGAGAATGATACCTTGACTTCCCTTTGAGACAGATCAGCATCATTCATGAACATATTTCTAGCATATCTGAAATATGTATTGGCAGGTGTTGAAGACGAAGTACAAAAAAATTATTTCTAAATGCCATTTGCTCTGGTTGGTATTTCCTCAAAGCAGTCGTATCAAGGCACTAACTACCCTTTCACCTTATTACATTACCAAAATGCCCATAACACAATATTCCTTCACATCATCTTCTTAAACACAGAATTAGCTGCCTTTGAAGAATATTTATGAAATGATTACAGCAGCAGGGCGGCCTCCATCTTTTCACTTTCAAACACAGTCCTATACCACTGAACCCCAAACATTTGTGTCCCGCTGTTCTGAAGGTTGTCCAGACATAACTTCAAAACCTTTCGCTCCTTTTATGTTAAAGAAGGCCGAGAAAAATTAATACGACACGAAACACAAGCATTTAATTTGCCACGATTCCTCTTCTACCCTACAGGTAGCCATGGTGGTCTTGGAGTGCCAGGAGCACTCTCTCCGCCATCAAAAGCATAACCTACATAGGTATTTACACAGCTTAAAGATGGCCGCTTTCTTCTTACCGGCACTTTTGGCATGTGAGACCACATGCAACAACACCCCAAAATGATCAAATTGTCGACCTTTGGGTCAGAAAAAAGACCAAACGTTGCGATTCCAAACAAGCCAAACAAAAACATGCTGTTCAGTCTGTGAGAAGTCTTCGATTCCAGAAACAAAAACATTCTGCTGTCAGAATCAAGGAGGCCATCTTGACTACAAGACAACACAATGACTATCATTACTGTGGGCCATTTCCCCAACAACAGACCATAGACCATCTTAGATTGGGCTTGGGGTAAAAGTGTTCTGTTATGAACTGTTATTACCATAGCCAGAACATTTGCTAAGACCTTAATTTTTTCTATCTTGCACAGAATCACATAAATTTGAATTTGTTCCATCAAAAAGCATTAGTTCTTGTTCTAAGGAACAATTTAAACTCGGTTCCATACAGCACAGAATAAATTCCCGATATTTTGGCTTATCCTTGTACAGAATAAATATCTTTGATAACTTCATCAACACCCTTTATCATAAAACCCTTTGGTAAAAATAGCTGTAAAATTAAACAAAAAATATACAAGTTAAAAAAATATATTTGATGACTTCATCACAAAGTTTCAAGCATGCTTGCATTCGAAATACTTGTAAACGTTCCAAAAATCGTCCTTAATCAGAGTCAATTTATTTTCTCAGCTGAGCGAAAAAATCTCAAGAACGAAAACATTTGTGGCATGAAAAAGTTGGATCAACGCCTTTAACAAGTGCTCTACAAAGGGGCAGAGAATGCATCTCGTTGGTGTTACAGCTCGCTCCTATATTAGAGTAATCACATACCCCGTCTCTCCTATCTATCTCCACTATCAAAACACACCTTCTTACTGCTTGACAGATGGTGAGGTAATGAACCCACCTCTTCAACCCCTAATGATCAGGAACTTGTTTACTGCCTGACCTGGCTAAAAATATTGGGGCATATTTAGTAGCTACTATCGGACCTACAGATATCCGCTGTTCATAAGTAGCCTGAGTTGGTAATTCTAGACAAGAAAATCATATACAAAGTAGGATAAGATCTTGCATGTGTCGTCAAACTACCTGGCCAGATCAGAAAGATGTTTTGTAGTATTTTTGAGGATTTGGTTTGAATTTTGCACCAGATAGTACCTATATAAACTTCTTATCCATGATGGCTGCATGGTGGTCTGTCTTATCATGGTACAATTATACCAAGCACCTGTTGATGCTAATCTAAGTTGTTTTCACTTGATTTGTAGATTTTGTCTTCTTTGCATATTTTTCAATTATTTGTCTGAATGGGTACAAAGAAGTACCTGTTAGTCTTCAATAAAGGTGCCACTTCAAATGTTTACTAAACTGTTACTGGAAAGTAGAATCATATATCTGTACAGTTACATATTCCTGTAAATATATGTATACCTGTTTCTGAAACCATGCACTTATACCATAATCCAGGCTAACATTCCAATGCCAAACCTGAAAGGTTGTTTGGTTTGGTTGATTGTTGTTTTACCCAACACTCAGAAATACTTCAGATATATGATGGTAGGGGGGCACGGGTGGCCCAGTCGTCTGAGGCACCGCTATTTGCTGTGCAGAGTTGCGTCCCTTGGGCATGCCAGAAACCTATGATTGTGGGTTTAAATCCCGGTTCGCCCCGATTATGTTTCTAGGCTTGTCAGCATCATACCCGTGCTTGTGGGTTTCACCAAAGTGGTAAACGTCTGGGACCTGCATCACTTCGGGCTTTCCTCCCACATTAAGCTGACACGCCGCGATGTAACTGGAATACTGTTAAAAGCGGCGTTTAACACAACTCACTCACTCACTTTATGATGTTGGCTTGTAAATAATAAAGCCTGGACCAGACAATCCAGTGACCGATACCGTCAAGGATCCACAATGAGGGATGATGATACACAATCAACCTAGTCATCGAGACAAAGAAAGATGTTGTTTCCTTTAACAGCACACAGAGATAACCACCCTAACAAAACAAATTCTCCTCATCCTCCTTTCCTTCATCCCCCTCATGCACCTTCTCTGTACCCTCCCCATCAGCCCACTCAGGTGGTCCTCCACCCCTTGGGATACTAAAGCAAAACACTCTCCCATACCACATCTCCTTCCATGTTTATTGGCCCACTGAACCCAATCCTATTACTCAATACTTGGTGGTATATAATGGCACCAGCACCAGTATGGCTTTACAGAGTCAACAAAGTCTCAGACAGACAGTGGAATCAACATTTTGGTCAAAACCTGCTGGTAAACCATGAGTTATCGGCTCTTTGTATGTACCCAGAGTCTAGAATGATTTGATAAGACGAGACAGACTCGTTAAGGAATTAAGGAATGTTCTGGGTTCCATTTGGATTTTACTTTTCATTTGTAGATATATATTCTTAAAGGAGACAACTTTATTTCAGGGAGTAAATCTTATTCTGTGTATGTGGCAGACATGTAACGTGAAAGTGGGATTGTTACAATGAGATATATTACAAGACCTTTCTTCAGTCTGCCAGCACTGAATCATGACTGTTCATTCTTAGCATTTTGAAAATTGTCATATCAAAACACTTATAAGACTCCTAGTAAGTACTTCAATGTACTATGTCTGACACAAAGAGTGAATTCACATAGGTAAGACTTACAGATCAAGGATTATAATCAGAACAAATTTGGAATGAAACTAACAAACTTGCTAAAAATCTTAATCACCCCTGCAAAGCACCAGACTTGCTGGGACACAGGCACCATGGTTGGGTAGGGTGCGGCTAAATGATTTGCTTACATTGAGCTACCTATTGATAAGGGGAGGTAGGGTAGCCAAGTCATCAAAGCCTTCGCTCTTTACACCAAAGGCCCAGGTTCAATTCCCCACATGGGTACAACGTGAGCCCTTTCTGACGTCCCCCAACATATTACTGGAATATTGCTCAAAGAGGCATAACACTCACTCATATTATTGATCTTAAGTTTGTTTCATACACCAAGAAATCTAACAAAGAAATACAATCACTCTGACTTTCTGCATAAATCTAACTGAACGAAATCCAAAAGCATTAAGTTGGTTTGTGAACAAGGCAGATATTTTAAGATTGTGCTTATCCTGCCTAAACTAATGCAGATTACGAGAAGAAAGCCCCGATCAGACAATGATGATTAATCTATAAAGTTTGGGCATTACTTGGTCAACAGACTCACGTCACGAACACAATGTTAATGGAAATCACTAGATATGAGGTTATGACGTTCTCTGCGCATATAATTTCCCCGTCATTTGCGGAATCGAAGGAATGGAGCTGACGTTTATTGTTCTACCTAGCCACAAGATTTGATCAAAGCTGCACAGAAAAGGCCAAACTGTCACCAAATCAACAAAGTATTCGGAAAATATCCACATCATTGACCTTATATTTGATATCAACTAGCAGTGTGTGCGTAACAGTCCAATCTCGCAGATAAGTGGTGAATCTCAATAGGAATTTGGCAGATCGGGGATGATTGTACGATTAATTAAAGGTCGAAATGAATCTTTATGAATTGATCTGTCAATAACTGCCTTTTGATTCCAAGTTAATACTATTTGGATAACTTATCGCACTGAGCTGCAGAAGAATATACAGAGTTTCCAGGCAATAGCTTAACAGGGGGACTAAGCTCCACTATAAGGTGCCCATGTAAGTGAGTGAGTGAGTACGGTTTTACGCCGCTTTTAGCAATGTTCCAGCAATATCACAGCGGGAATCGAACCC